TATGGGTTTTTGGGGGGGTTGGGTACTTTTTTTTTAAAAAATTTGATGAAAGAGAGGAAGGTACCTGGGGATTGGGGGAAGGGGGCATGTATAGCCCCTTTTTTTTTTAAAGGGAAAAGGGGGACAAAAGAGCCCTGAAAAAATTAAATAGAGGAATAAGTTTTGAGTTATCCCGGGGAAAAAAGTGTACGGTAGGGTTATAATTGAAAAAAATTAGAGGTAAGACAGAATGTAGGATTGGGGATGAGAAAGGGAAAAGGTTTTCAGAGTGGGTGGGGGATGTGTAGATCGGTGTTTACATTGAAGCATATATGTAAACAGTATTTAGAAAAAGATGGGGAAAGTTTTTATTCCCTTTTATGGATTTAGAAAAGGAAAAGGAAGAGTGGTTAGAGGACCAAGGTGGCAAAATTTTGAAGTTTTAGGGAAATAGGGGGTAATTTATTAAATGCTGTAAAGGGGTTTTTTTTTATGAGGAAAAGTGGGCCCGGGTTTAGGGTGGGAAAAAAATTATTATATTATTATGGGGGGGAAAAGCGCAAAACCCCCGAGGTTTTATACAGCCCCTTTTGGGGAAGGGGGGGGGGTGGGGAAAGGCATTCGGGTTTTAATTCGGGGAACGGGGGCAAGACCAATTTCCTAAATCAAAAAAGCCCCTCCCCAAACATAAAGGGAAAACCTTCCTTGAGGGGTTTAGGGTGTGTAGAAGAGGGGAAAACAAATTCCCCCGGTAAAAGTGGGGTTTAGACAGGGTGTGTAATGTCACCAGGGGGTTTTTTAAATTTTTTTAAAAGAGGGGGTTGAAAAGGGTAAAGCTAGGGGGGTTCGGGGAGAGGGGTGGGTTTTAAATTTTGGGGAATAAAAATTAAAAAAGGGGAAATTTGGGACACAGTTACTTTTTGCTGATGATACTGTGCCTTAAGGGGTTTTAAAAAAAAAAATTGGGAAAAGGGGGGGGGGGTTAAAAAAAGGGAAAAAAAAAAAAGGGGGGGGGGGAAAAAAAATTTTTTTAAAAAAAAAATTAAAAGGGGGGGGGTTAAAAAAAAAGGTTTTTAAAAAGGGGGGGGGCCCCGGGGATGGTTTTTTGAAGGATTGGGGGAAAATAGAATTGAAAGGGGGGAAAAAAAAAGGGGGGGGGGGGGCCCCTTTTGGGGTTTAAAAAAAATTTTTTTTGGGGGGGGGTTTTTTTTTAAAATTTTTTTTTTGGGGGGGGGGGTTTTTAAACCCCGGGGGGGGGGAAAAGGGGGGGGTTTTTTTTAAAAAAATTTTTTTAAAAATTTTTGGGGGGAAAAAAAGGGGGGGGGGGGGGAAAAAAAATTTTTTTAAAAGGGGAAAAAAAGGGGGTTTTGGGGGTTTGGTTTTAAAAAAAAAAAAAAGACATGGAAAGCATAAAAAAAGGGGGGGAAGGGGGGGGGGTCCTCCCGGGGGGGGGGGGGGGGGGTTTTGGGGGGGGGCTTTTGGGGGGGCCCCCGGGGGAAAGGGGTGGGGAAGGAAAGGGGGTTTTTTGGGGGGGGAAAAAAAAAGGGGGGGAAAAAAAAATTTTTTTTGGGAAAATTTTTGGGGGGGGGTCCGCCCCAAAAAAAAATTTGGGATTGGGGGGGGGTTTGTTTTAAAATTTTTTTTTTTTTGTTTTTTTTAAAAAAAAAATTTTTTGGGGGGGGGGGGGTTTTTTTTTAAATTTTTTTTTTTTTTTTTTTTTTTTTTCCCCCCGGGGGGGGGGGGGGGGGGAAAAAAAAAAAAAAAAAAAAAAAAAAAAAAAAAAGGGAAAAATTTTTTTTTAGCCTGGGGGGAAAAAATTTTAATTTGGATTTTGGGGGGTTTTGGGTTTCCCGGAGGGGGGGCCCCCCGGGGCCCCCCCCCGGGGGGCCCGGGGCCCCCAAAAAGGGGTTTTGGGGTTTTTTGGGGGGGGGCCCCCCCCCCCCCCCAAAAAAACCCCCCCCCCCCCCCCCTTTGGGGCCCCCCCCCCCCCCCCCCGGGGGGGGGGCCCCCCCCCCCCCCCCCCTCCAAACCCCCGGAAACCCCCCCCCCCCCGGCCCCCGGGGGCCCCCCCCCCCGGGGGGGGCCCCGGGCCCGGCCCCCCCCCCCCCCCCCCCCCCCCCCTTGGGGGGGGAAAAAAAAAAACCCCCCCCCAAAAGGGGGCCCCCCCCCCCCCGGGAAAACCCCCCCCCGGGGGGGGGCCCCCTCTCCCCGGGGGGGCCCCCTTTGGGCCCCCCAAAAAAACCCCCCCCCGGGGCCCCGGGGGGCCCCCCCCCCCCCCCCCCCCTTTTTTTTTTCCCCCCCCCCTTTTTTTTTCCCTTTCCCCCCCCCCCCCCCCCCCCAGGGCCGGGGGGGTTTTTTTGAAACCCCCCCCAAAAAAATTTTTTTTTTTTGGGGGGGAAAAACCCCCCGGGAAAAATTTTTTTCCCCCCCTTTTTCCCCCAAAAAACCCCCCGGGGGGCCCCCCCCCCCCGGGGGCCCCCCGGGGGGGCCCCCCCCCCCCTTTTTCCCCCCCAAAAAACCCCCCAAAAAAAACCCCCCAAAAACCCCCCCCTCCGGCCCCCCCCCCCTTTTTTTTTCCCCCCCCCCCCCCCCCCCCCCCCCCCCCCAACCCCCCCCCCCCCCTTTTCCCCCCCGGGGGCCCCGGGGGGCCCCCCCGGGTTTGGGGGGAAAAAAACCCCCCCCCCCTTTTTTTTCCCCCCAAAAACCCCGGCGTTTAAAAAAGGGGCCCCCAAAACCCGCCCCCCCCCCCCGGGGGGGCCCCCCCCCTTCCCCCCCCCCCTTCCCCCCCCCCCCTTTTTAAAAAATTTTTTTTTCCCCCGGGGGGGGCCCCCCCCCCCCCCCCCCCTTTTTTTTTTTTTTTCCCCCCCCCCCCCCCCCCCCCCCCCCCCCCCCCTTTTTTTTTTTAAAAAAAGGGGAAAAAAAACCCCCCCCCGGGCCCCCCCCCCCCCCGGAACTTTTTCCCCCCCCCCCCAAAAAAAACCCCCCCCCCCCCCAAAAAAAAAAAAAGGGGGCCCCCGGGACCCCTTCCCCCCCCCCAAAAGGGGCCCCCCCCCTTTTTTTCCCCCCGGGGCCCCTTTTTAAAAGGGGGGGGAAAAACCCTTTTTCCCCCCCCCCCCGGGGGAAAAAGGGCCCCCCCCCCAAAACCCCGGTTTTTCCCCCCCCCCCCCGGCCCCTTTTTTGGGGCCCCTTTTTTTCCCCGGCCCCCCCGGGCCCCCCAAAACCCCCAAAAATTTTTTTCCCCCCCCCCCCAAAAAAACCCCCCCTTTTTTACCCAAACCCCCCCCCCAAAAAAAAGGGCCCGGGCCCCCCCCCAAAAAAAAAACCCCCCAAAAAAAACCCCCAAAAAAGGGGCCCCGGCCCCCCCCCCCCCCCCTTTTTTTTTTAAAAAAGCCCCCCAAAAAACCCCCCCCCCGGGGGGGGCCCCCCCCAAGGGAAAAAAAAAGGGGGGGGGGGCCCCCCCCCCCCCCGGGAAAGGGGGGAACCCCCCCCGGGGGGGGGGGCCCCCCCCCCCCCCCCTTTTTTTTTGGGGGGGCCAACCCCCCAAAAAAAAACCCCCCCCAAAAACCCCCCCCCCCCCTTTTTTGCCCAAGGGGCCCCCCCCAAAAAGGGGGAGGGGGGCCCCCCCCCCCCCCCCCCCCCGGGGGGGGTGTTAACCCCAGGCCCCCCCCCCCCGGGGTTTTTCCCCCCGGGGGCCCCCCCCCCCTTTTTCCCCCCCCCCCCAAAAAAAGGGGGCCCCCCCCCCCCCCCCCCCCTTTTTCCCCCCCCAACCCCCCCCCCCAAAAACCCCCCCCCCCCCCCCCCCCCGGAAACCCCCCCCCAAAACCCCCCCCCCCCCCAAAAGGGGGGGCCCCCCCCCCCCCCCAAAAAAAAAACCCCCCCCCCGGGGGTTTTTCCCCCCCAAAACCCCCCCCCCCCGGGGGGGAACCCCCCCCCCCAAAACCCCTTTTTAAAACCCCCCCCCTTTTTCCCCCCCCCCCAAAAAATTCCCCCCCGGGGGGGCCCCCGGGGGCCCCCCCGGGGGGCCCCCCCCCCCAAAAGGGGCCCCCCCCCCCCCCCCCCCGGGGGGGGGCCCCCCGGGAAAAAAAACCCCCCGGGGGGGGGGTTTTTTTTTCCCCCCCCCCGGGGGGCCCCCCCCCCCCCCCCCCCCCAAAAAAAAGGGGGGGGCCAAAATTTTTTTTGGGGGGGAAAAAACCCCCCCCCCCCCGTTTCCCCCCCCCCCCCCCAAAAAAAGGGCCCCCCCCAAGGCCCCCCCCCCCGCCCCCCCCCCCCGGGGGGGCCCTTTTTCCCCCCCCCCCCGGGGCCCCCCCGGGGGCCCCCCGGGGGCCCCGGGGTTTTTTCCCCCCCCCCCAAAACCCCCCCCCCCCCCCCCAAAAACCCCCCCCCAAAACCCCCCCCCCCCCCCGGGAAACCCCCCCCCAAAACCCCCCCAAAAAAAACCCCCCTTTTTTTTTTTTGGGGAAAACCCCCCCCCCCCCCCCCCAGGCCCCCCCAAAAAAACCCCCCAAAAAAAAAACCCCCCCAAACCCCCGGGGGGAAAAAATTTTTTTTTTTTTTGGCCCGGGGGGGGTTTTTTTTTTTTTTTTTTTGGGGGGGGTTTTTTTTTTTTTAATTTTTGGGGTTTTTTAAAAAAAACCCCCTTTTTTTGGGGGGGCCTTTTTTTAAAGGGGGGTTTTTTTAAAAATTTTTGGGGGGGTTTTTAAAAAAAGGGGGGGGATAAAAAAAAAACCCCCCCTTGGTTTGGGGAAATTTTTTCCCCAAAAACCCCCAAATTAAATTTTTTTGGGGGGGGAAAAAAATTTTTTTTTTTTTTAAAAAAAAAAAAGTTGGGGGGCCCCTTTTTAAAAAAAAAATTTTTTTTCCCCGGGGGTTTTTTTGGGGGGGTTTTTTAATTTTTTATTTCCCCTTTTTTTCCCCTTTTAAAAGGGGAAGGTTTTTAAAAAAAGGTTTAAATTTTTAAAAAATTTTTTTTTTTTTTTTTTTTTGGGGGGTTTTTTTTGGGGGGGGCCCCCCTTTTTTTAAAAAAAATTTTAAAAAAAAATTTTTTTAAAAAATTTTTTTCCCCCCCAAAATTTTTTTTTCCCGGGGTTTTTTTTTGAAAAGGAAAAAAAAAAAATTTTTGGGGAAAAAAGGGGGGGGGGTTTTTTTAAAAAAAAAGGGGAAAAAAATTTGGGGGGGGTTTTTGGGAAAAATTTTAAAAGGGGGGGGAAATTTTTTTAAAATTTTTTTTTAAAAAAAATTTTTAAAAAAATTTTTTTTTGGGGCGGCCCTTTTCAGCCGGTTTTTATGTTCCCATTGTTGTAGAAAGCTTCCGGTTTTCTATGAAAGCAGCTTTGATGTTGACCTTTTTAATACCCTTGTGATTTTAGTCCACAGATTTATCTCATTTGGGCATACAAAAACACTTCCTGTTTTAATACTGCTTGTAGCTAGTTCTTGGGATATCTGCAAAAGGGGCGTGACACAATTTCCACAGAATGACAATTTATGCATGTGGAAGCCGTTTGTTTGACTGACCACAGACTACACACACTTCATAATGATTGAATGGTTGATTTACTGCAATTCTACTAGCAACCTCTTGAATTTCTATTAATAACCTGCTAGGTGGTGCACAACAAAACCCGTTTGGAACCAGTCCAGGGTTCGGACCAGTCAAGGGTTCGGCCCAGTCAAGGGTTGGGGCCCAGTCTATCTGATTGATCATTTGGGTCACTTATTTAAACCATACTGGCGTTTGGAGGGATATGTTGTGTATCTTTATACGTATATGCTTCTAAACTGTTGTATTCTGAGCACCTCTGCAAAAGCAGTGATAATGTGTGAGTGTGGTGAAAGTGTTGAATGATGATGAAAGTATTTTCTTTTTGGGGATTTTCTTTCTTTTTTGGGTCACCCTGCCTCGGTGGGAGACGGCCAACTTGTTGAAAAAAAAAACAAAAAAATATATAGTTCATAATATAACAACTCATTATACAGTAGGTCTCCCACTTGCGAAGTCAATGTGTTCCTGAAAATTGTTTGTAAAGTAAAAGGACACAAGTGCAAGTAATGTAACATTTTATTGTGCCAACATTTCGCTCTCCAGGAGCTTTGTCAAGCCGTTACAAACAGTACATGGACACAGAGGGTATATATAGGCTCAGAATGAGGTGCAATACTAGTGGGTAGTAGTAGTAGTAGTAGTAGTAGTAGTAATACAATATGTTAGAACAATTAACTTGCACATGAGTAAAAGTATATAAAAGCTATTACTTGCAAAACATGAAAATAGGTTAGACAAATATTGGAGGCTGGATAGAGGCAGCCTGTTTCAATGTTCATTCTCTGTAATGTGCTTGTGTAGTATTAACAGGAGAGACTATGTGATAGCAGAATTTACTGTTTTCAGGAGGATTCTTGCTAAGACTTCAGAGATGGTGAAGCTGCCTTTGTTTTGTTTAATTGTATTAGAAACAGTTATTAGTGAAGATTCAAGGCACTTGCATCTGAGGAAATTAGTTTCTTTGATCACTAGTTGGGCGTCCCTGAGCTTCATGAGATGATTGGTGAAATTTCGGTGCTGTACACAGGCGTTGTTCAAGTTATCGTTCCTACATGCGTAAATGTGTTCATTGAGGCGGGTGTCGAGGTTTATTGCTGTTTCACCTACATAAATCTTGTCACAGCCTCTGCAGGGTATAGTGTAAATCCCTGCATTGACTGGTTCGTGGTGCTTGGATTTTGTTCTGGTTAGATCCTTTATCGAAGTGCTGGAAGCAATGGCAACTCTGGTGTTAGCTTGTGAAAGTACTTTAGAAACGTTCAGTGCAACCTGGCTGTTGGGAAGAATTATAACTTTGTTGGGAGTGGTGTTGGTGCGTGGAGAATTAATGATCTGAAGAGCTCTTTTCTTGCAGTCTTTGATGGAAAAGGAAGGAATACGTAAATCAGTGAAGGTTCGGTAAATGTACGTACATTGCTCATCAAGAAACTCAGAACTACAAATTCGGTATGCTCTTAGGAAAAACCCGATGATGACGCCTCTTTTGATCTTAGTATCTTGACTGGAATAGAAGTGTGTGAGATCATTTTTATTGGTAGGTTTCCGATAAACTTGAAATCTTAGGTTGTTGTCTACTTTGTGAATGAGGACGTTGAGGAAAGGTAGCTTGTCATTGGACTCTTCTTCTAGTGTAAACTGATTGCCGGTTCAACTGCATTGAGCCTTGCCTGTAGATTCTGTACATCAAAACGTTTGGAGTTATTGCGAGGACGTCGTCCATGTAACGTAACCAAGTGACGCTTGAAGGGATGATGTTGGTGAAGTGTTCGGATTCTAGGTGTTCCATGTACAAGTTGGCTAGGACAGCACTGATGGGTGGCCCCATTCCCGTGCCGTAGGTTTGTTTGTAGAGCCTGTTATTGAAATTCCACCAATCATCTCATGAAGTTCAGGGACGCCCAACTAGTGATCAAAGAAACTAATTTCCTCAGATGCAAGTGCCTTGAATCTTCACTAATAGCTGTTTCTAATACAATTAAACCAAACAAAGGCAGCTTCACCATCTCTGAAGTCTTAGCAAGAATCCTCCTGAAAACAGTAAACCCTGCCATCACATAGTCTCTCCTGTTAATACTACACAAGCACATTACAGAGAATGAACATTGAAACAGGCCTTCTCAATCCAGCCTCCAATATTTGTCTAACCTATTTTTATGTTTTGCAAGTAATAGCTTTTATATCTTTATACTCATGTGCAAGTTAATTGTTCTAACATATTGTATACTACACTATAATTTATATCACTACTACTACACACGTGACGTGTTTGAAAAGAGTAAAATGGAGACAAATGGTTTTTAATCTTGACGTGCGTTGAGTGTGAGCAAAGAACATTATGAAGGATTCAGGAAACCGGCAGCCGACTTGATCCTGAGATGGAAGTACAGTGCCTGCACTTTGAAGAGGGGTGTTAATGTTGCAGTTTAAAAACTGTAGTGTAAAGCACCCTTCTGGCAAGACAGTGATGGAGTGAATGATGGTGAAAGTTTTTCTTTTTCGGGCCACCCTGCTTGGTGGGAATCGGCCGGTGTGTTAATAAAAAAAATAAAAAAAAATACTACTACTACCACCACCACTAGCATTGCACCTTACTCAGAGCCTATATATACCCTCTGTGTCCATGTACTGTTTGTAACGGCTTAACAAAGCTCCTGGAGAGTGAAACGTTGCCACAATAAAATGTCACATTAGTTGCACTTGTGTCCTCTTACTTTACATATTGTCGGTAATTCTACCAACTTTATTACAATCTGAAAATTGTTTGTTAGTCGAATGTTTAGAGCTTGGAACCTATTTTCCCAGAGACACCCAGGTTGTAATCAGAGATGCACTCCCAAGCATGATATGCCATATTCTAATTTCATATATTTTCTACTAATGATGAAATTAAAAACACTGAATAATACTCAAATAAATCCCTTTCCCTTCTTCTTGTGTTTCCTCATCCCATTTCCTCTTTCCTATTCCCTTACTTTCCTTCCTCTCTCACATTCCCTCCCTCCCACTCTCCCCTTGTATCTGACACAAACTTTACATATGCTCTCATATCATCTCACTGATAATACCAAAATGTTAGGTATCTGGGAATATGACATATGTTGCAGGGAAGGAGTGGAGAGGGTATTATGGGTAGGGAGGGAGGATGGGTTGAGGTGAGAATAAAATAAGCAGAGCCAGGATAGATAGAGAGACCACCTGCTCTTCCCTCCATCCTCACAGCCATCAGGCTGAGGCAGGGGCATCCCCCTGCCTAAGCTGTCTGGCAATCCACCCTCATTCCAGACATAGCAGCCACTCCCTGCTCCTTTCCACTAGTCCACCAGCCAGGGGGCCAAGGCCTCCCCTCTCCCAGGCAACTCACCCACCTCCATGTCATACCAACCACCTCCTGGTCCTTTTACCTCAGCTACTAGTGCAGGCCTGGGGGGTTTCCCTTCTGGGCTCTCATTCAATCGATGTGAACTCAACTTAGATAGTTGTGCCAACATTTTGCAATAAATAATAAATCTAAAGTTCTTTATCATTCGCTACCTAACATGAACTCTCCACAGATACATACACAAACTGTTGATGCATTTTAAAGTCTGAAAACTCACAATACTGTGGCTGGAACAATTTCCCTAAAAAACCCACACCTAGAAGAGGAAAGTTAGGATGATATTTTGGTCTGTCCTGGACCACTGTCAAGTTGGTTGTGATTTGACAATGGTCCTAGATGGACCAAAACACCATGTTAATGTGTGTCTCCTAGGTGCAGGTTTTGGGTGAAATATATCAATGAATTTGGTAAAAAACTAGCTAAGAAAGGAAAACATAATTCAACTTAACAAGACCATTATGTAATTTACCACTATCTATCAAATAAACATGAACTCTCTGAACATGCATGAATGAACATTGGCAAAAAAATATCTAAGACAAGAATAATGGAATATAATTTTTGTTTGAATATTTGCAGTTATCATATCTCTGAATCAGTGTTCATAAGAGCTCTAATCATAAGTGCAGATCATGATAAGTTGGATCATTTTAATTCAGTGCAACAGGAGATGGAAGATAATCCAAGTTGTGAAGTCAGCTCACTTCTGTAAAAACAGCAACTGAATGAATGAATGTGAATGTATTCTCTTTTTACATTCACCTTGCCTGGGAAGGAGACAGTTGTTGCAGTAAAACAAAAAAAAAAGTGCAACACTTGGATATCCTTATTGTGGAGACATTTTACTAACCAGTGGATTAATCAAGACAATACAGAAAATAAATACTGGAGATGGTCAAAGACATAAGATAAGTTGAGGTGATCAGAACCCCAGTCTTGATCAATCCAGACTGAGGGACTGAACACTTCTTTTTAAGGCTGAAGGGCTGATCACCTCAAATTACTTCTTTGTGTTTTCCACAGTCTCCAGTAATTATTATCCATGTTGGATTGATAAAGCCACTGACTGACAAAACATCTCCACAATAAAGATACCTAGTGTTACACGAGTCATATTCATCTACTTGTTCGTTCTGTGCACCACTGACGGAATATTAATACATGCTGCATTGTACAAGAGTCAATACATAAAGAAATGCACTCCTAAAATGAGAACACTTTCCCTATGACAAAGGAACACATTTCTTAAGAGATTTGGGTTTGCACCAAAATATAATGAAAATCCTAGAGCACATTCTGGTCAATAAGCACTAACATTGGAACCGTACATGATGAAGGTCCCTTCCCAGGGACTGTACATGATGCAGGTTCCTTCACAGGGACTGTACATGATGCAGGTCCTTTCCCAGGGACTGTACATGATGCAATGTCCCTTCCAAATTACTGTTCAAGATGTAGGTAACTCCTCAGGAACTGTACATAAAAACTAACCTGTATGGAGCATGGTCCTTTCCCAAGGACTGATAGGGCAGCAACACGAACACTTGCATCAACACTTGTGGCTGCCCCACACTCATGTAAAGCATCCTCAGCCTCATAGCCATATGCACCAACATTTCCCAGACCCTGAATGGCTAGCAGAACCTGTAAGTAATATTATTTATGATTAAAAATTCAATACCAAAACACTGCTATTATTTCCTGTAGGAAGTCCAGTATATGGAGTAATTCCAATTGCTTTGATGTTAACTTTAGCAGGTTTAGGGAGAACTATCTAGAATTTCCGCATGGTCCTTGACCTAACTTTTGAAATGAAAATGTGAAATGAAGAAAAGCTAAATGATCTTTCATATATCTTTCAAGAGTTCTGGGAATTTGTCTACTCCCAGATCCTGGCCCCTTGGCCAGGCTTCTCTAGTGCTTGCCTGTTCAATCAGGCTGTTGCTGCTGGTAGCTCACTGGCCCACATATCCATCACAGCTTGGTTGATCTGGCACTTGGTTGAGAACCTTGTCCAGTTTTCTACACTCGTCTCAGCAGAGTTTCTTATATCTTCTGGTAAGATATTGAACAATCTGAAACCCTGGATGTTGATGTAATGTTTTCTTGTTGTGCACACGATGCTCCTCCCAGCCACTGGGTTTATCTTGCACTCGTTCCTATTTCCCAGTCCAGTAAGCTATTATGGCAATGTACAGATTTGGGACTAGGCCTTCAAATACTTTCAACGTATATACCATCATGTATCTTTCACTCCTCCACTTCAACAAGTACATATTAAAGACTGAGACACTGCCAGTAATTTAAATACTTTACTGGCTTTATGAAGGTCAAAAATTATTTTGGTAACTTTTCCAGCTCTGATATTTTTCCCTGATCAGAATGGAGTCATCAGCATTGGGAAAACTTTAAACAAGAGAGCACAAGCAATTTGAACAGTGCCACTGTTGGCACAATTTCCCTTCTTTTGAAAGTTCTCATCATCAACCCCGTCATTTTCCTGGCTGTCATGATACCTTATTGTGCTCTTTGAAAGAAAGGTCAGTCAACATAATTACTCCCATATCTTTCACATGTTCCTTATCACTACTGAATGTCATGTTATTTTCCACTGAAAAACCTTGTTTATGTTTCCCCTGCAATTTTTTCATGCCTTGGTGCCATTCACAAATGATGATACAAACTGTGGTGAGTGTTTTAATCTATGACTGTTACTAGGATGAGAAACAGTAGAGGCACCAGGACAGTGCCTTGGGATACAGAGCCCAAGGCACTACTGCTGAATTTTGCTCTCTTTACTACTACCCTTTGTGTTTTTTCTGTCAGAAAGTTGACACATAAGTGTGTCAACAACAATAAAGCTACTGCATGTAGACAAACCAATTCACGTTTACTCATTGTACTAATGTAGAGTATCACAAACAGGGTCAAGAGTTACAGTAAGCATGATCTGCCTCTTTCAATACACTAATCCTTTTACGGTCAACACCACCCCTCAAATTGAGAACCTCTTTTGTGCTGCCATTAAAAAAAAAAAAAAAAAAAAAAAAAAACTCTAAAATTGTAGAGAATCTTCATGTAAGTGCATTGATACCGAAAATGCAAAATTTAATGTAATTCTTATGGAATTATGCAGGTGCAAATTTGGAGGTTGGGGAACACTTTGTGCGACAGCAATTTTGCCCACTTTGAGGACTATTTTAGGCCAATTCCAGTGCTCAAACCAGTCTAATTCTTGGCTATTTCGCTAGTATGCCTTCCATACTATCCACTGATCTCAATAAACTGCCCATTTAATTATCAGGACTCTCTTTTAAGGCATCCAGATGTCGGTAAATTGGCCACTCTTACAATACTTTAAACACATTCCGATTTAAAGACAAAGTCCAAAATAAACACTGTAGGCATTTCAGCCACAAAAGCAACCTTCCCTCAACATCTCAACAACCCCAATTCCAACCCCTGAACTGCACCCTTTTTAACCAACCATATAATTAATTGTAGTGGGTTGGTAGACAGCAACCACCCAGGGAGGTACTACCATACTGCCAAGTGAGTGTAAAACAGAAGCCTGTATTAGTTTTACATAATAGTACGATTGCTGGTGTCTTTTTTTCTGTCTCATAAACATATAAGATTTCAGGTACGTCTTGCTACTTCTACTTACACTTAGGTCACACTACACATGCATGTCAACATTTATGTATACACACTCATCTGAGTATTCTTTGATTTTATCTTAATAGTTATTGTTCTTATTACTTTTCCCTTCATATCCATGGGAAGTGGAATAAGGATCTTCCCTCTGTAAGCTGTGTGTGTTGTAAAAGTCAACTAAAATGCTAGGAGCAATGGGGTAGCAACCCCTTTTGCCTGTATAGGTTACTAAAAATAAAAAGAAGAAAACCATCAGTCTGATGAGCTGTTGGAGCGTAAGCAAGGTAATATTTTGTGAAGGGATTCAGAAAAACCAGTTTGCCGGACTTGAGTCCTGAAAGTGGGAATTACAGTGCCTGCACTTTAAAGAAGGGGTTTGGGATATTGGCAGTTTGGAGGGACATCTAAACTGTCATATCTGAGCACTTCTGCAAAGACAGCAATTATGTATGAGTGATGGTAAAAGATGATAAATTAGACACATGTGCAACTCTTGGGTATCTTTATTGAGGAAACGTTTCGCCACACAGTGGCTTCATCAGTCCATACGTAGGAGAAACTGGAAGAACAGGAGGAGAATGAGGTAATCAGTCCCTCAACCTTGAGTCGATGTGTTCAGTCCATCAATCTTGAGTAGAATGTGTCTAATTTATCAACATGTCGGTTCTCTGAACCATTCATCTACAGATGGTAAAAGTGTTGATGATGATAAAAGTTTTTTCTCTCCTTTTGGGTTTTTCCTTTCTTTTTGGGTCACCCTGCCTTGGTGGGAAACGTGTTAAAAAAAATAATTACCCCCACACATTTCTCTAAATTTTGACATCAACTTCTCCACTACCTCCAGCCACCACTGTCTCTGCCTCCACTACCTCCTCCTCCACTTTTACTGGAAAATAGGCCCCTTCTTTCCTACATACTCTAACCTGAGCCTTACTTTCTGTGAAGAGACTCTTTATTGCTTTTAGTAACCTACTACCTATTTCATATGTTTGCATAATCTACTGCACTGCCTCCTAGCCACCCTATCATATGTCTTTTCTGAAAATCTATTAATATAACAAACAGCTCCTAACTCTTATCTAAATACTGTTCACTTACATGGTTCAATGAGAATACATTGCCTAGACATACCCTACCCTTCCAAAACCTTTCTTGTTCCCCTGCACTCCTTCTTGCTGTCTTATTCAGTAATAATATTACTGCACACTTTACATGGGATATTCCACAGGATTTTTTCTTTCTTTCAACAAACAGGCCGTATCCCACCAAGGCAGGGTGGCCCCCCCAAAAAAAAACGAAAGTTTCTCTTTTTAAATTTAGTAATTTATACAGAAGGGGTTACTGGCCCCTTGCTCCCGGCATTTTAGTCACCTCTTACAACACGCATGGCTTATGGAGGAAGAATTCTGTTCCACTTCCCAATGGAGATAAGAGGAAATAAACAAGAACAAGAACTAGAAAGAAAATAGAAGAAAACACAGAGGGGTGTGTATATGTGTATATATATGCTTGTACATGTACGTGTAGTGTGACCTAAGTAGAAATAGCAAGACATACCTGAAAAATTGCATGTTTATGAGACAGACAAAAGACACCAGCAATCGTACCATCATGTAAAACAATTACAGGCTTTTGTTTTACACTCACTTGGCAGGACGGTAGTACCTCCCTGGGCGGTTGCTGTTTACCTGCCTATTACCTAGGTCCACAGGATTATTCCACCATAATTTCATAACTTTCTCACAGTTCTTCAAATTTTTATTAAATTGTAATATTCAAACTGAAGAGGATGAAAGCACTGTATATTCGTATTAAAGATCTTAATAAAAATCATGCACTACATAACTGCAAGTAATTATTATTTTAATTATTATTTTACTACATGTAAACCACACAATAACCAAATTCTGTAAACTCAGCATTGTAATCCTTATAGAGAATAAACTTTGAATTTGAATTTGAATTATTATAAATGCTCATCATTATAGAAAACAAGAGTATAAAATAAAAGTGTTCAGCAGCTTCACCTCAGTCTTGTCAATGGCAGATGAGCAGAGCTTCAGCTTTTCCCTCAGTCTGCTGGTAATGACCTGAACTGCTTGCTCCTGTGCACACTCTCTCTCACCAACTGCAACCATCCAAAAGAAAAATCAACATAAACACAAAATACATCTCTTTACAGGCCACTGCAAAACAGTCTAATATTGTATTAAAATAATATCATTATACACAGTAGTGAAGTAGAGAGAGGCAATTTCTTCATTTTGGTATTATTTAATTTATTGCTAAATCATCCTCTGAGATTAAAGTGAATAACATACAAATGTTATTTGAAATTTCACAATTCCTATGAAAATTATTGAGTGCAATGTATGGCTGATTTCCTTCAGGAAGAGTACCTTGGTTATGAAACATTGAAAAATATTTCAGATATGACAAGGCTTTAAAGTGGCTGTAACTGCTATGGTGATAACAACAAGCTGTGGATAAAGGCACTTGTGTATAGTTCGTGACATATATTATGGAAACAGGAAACATTTTGTCATGAGTGGCTCCTGCAGTTTTAATATGATTAAATTAAAGAGGGTGTTATATAGTGCACAGAGACAATGACTCATGAAATCGCAATGACACGATTGCAAACAAATCATACCACGGGCGGGGTTAGAACCCACGATCAGTCTCAAAACTCCAGACCGTCGCTCTAGCCACTGGGGAAATGTCATAGAGATGTTTGTGTCTGGTGTTATGCCTGTGGATCCTGTCACAACTATCAAGAAAGCATTTTTGGTCAAGGTTAATATTGGAATTTAACCCTTTGACTGTTTTGGACGTATATATAGTAAAACGTCTTACGAGCCAGTGTTTCGGACGTGTCTATACTCAATAATTCTAGCGGCTTCAAATCAAGCAGGAGAAAGCTGGTAGGCCAACATGTGATAGAATGGGTCTGTGTGGTCAGTGTGCACCATATAAAAAAAATCCTGCAGCACACAGTGCATAATGAGAAAAAAAAAATTCCGACCATTGTTTTGTAATAAAACACAGACTTTGAGGTGTATTTTCGTATAGTATTTATCATTGTATTCTCATTTTCATGGTCTCATGTGATAAAATGGAAAACATATTACAGAAATAGAGATGATTTTGATTAGTTTCACAATGAAAAACGACTTTGAAACTGAGCTCAAAGTAGCAGAAATGTTCGATTTTTACCAATGTTCAAGAGTAAGCAAATCACACCACACGCCCAATATGCATCAACTGGGGAGTTGAATATTCTTTCACTAGTGCACTAGTATTATTTATACCATTTTTACAATAATGCAGTAGTCTGCATAACAGTAAATCTTCTATTTTTTGTATAAATAAAAAATCAAAATAGAAAGCAATAGTAATATAACAGTGGCCTAGAAACGTGACTAATGAACAGAGGATATGTTATTTTAGTGCCAAGAATGTCTACATTGTTTATTCTGGACCCTATTTTGAAATTGGCCAAATTGCCAATTTCTGACCACTTTATTGAGTAGTTGAAATTGGTAAATGGGCAGTTTCTTGTACTCGATTGATAGAAAAAATGGAGTTCTAAAGAAATAGCTATGAGTTTGGTCAACTGGAACAATGGCACTGACCAAAAATAGGGCTCAAAGTCGGTGAAATCGCCGATGCGCATATGTTGTCAAAACCGCTAACTTTGCGGGACCATAATTCCGTGAGTTCTCGATCAAATTTTGTACTTTTGGTGTCATTACCATCAAAAAAATTCTCTATCATTTCATGAGAAAAAATAATTTTTTTTTTTTTAAATTTTGCGACAGAATGAGTTTCCAGAAAGGGGTTTACGACAGTCAAAAGGGTTAAGGTCCTGCAGATGTAGATTGCACAGTAGTAAGTGTGGATGTTCTGAACAGGGAGTAAGTTTAGATCTATGAAGAGTGGAAGGGTGCGTTGCCAGGGATGGGGTTCAGTGATTATTCTTACTGCGGCTTTTTGTTGGGTTATTATTGGCTTTAGATGTGTTGCTGCAGTTGATCCCCAAGCACAAATAGCACAGGTGAGGTATGGATAAATGAGTGAATGGTATAGTGTGAGAAGGGCAGTTTGTGGCACGTGTCTTCCTTTGCAGATGACACCCGAATCTGCATGACAGTGTCTTCCATTGGCAGACACTAGCCAAAGCTCCAGGCGTGACATCTACCCAAATCTTTTGTCTGGTAGCCTGTGGCTGCAAAAATCAAAGAAGCTTTTTCAAGCGTATATTGGAATTTATACTTCAGATGTTGGATACTATAGTATATTTACAATCTTCTCGAGTAGTCATAACCAAATTCTGCGGCTCAAAATAAGAGCGAAAATACCAACATTATAGACTGGGTACGTGTGGTCAGTGTCGACATATCAAAATCCTTCAGACCAGTAACATTGATCAATCGCATTGCTTGAAAAAATACAGATTGATGTAATGAGAATTTATCATGATCTATGGAGGCCCAAATGCGCATGATGACAACATCTTCAGAATAGATTTGTTTTGATTAGCATGGAAACATTGCTGAGCTCAAAGTAGCAAAATCCTTTCAAGGGGGTAAGCAAATCACCAACCAGCCCAAATGTACAGAGAAATCTTTCACAGTGGCACTAACGGATAATATACCTCAATAACAGTGGACGCTTCTTGTATATTCATAAAAGCATGTATTCGCCTAGAAACGTGCAAGGAGAGATACAAGGATTATATTTACCTGCAAAATTCCTAATGACTTATTGTACCAGAATTGGCCCAAAATTCAACTCATTTTAAGGAAATGGTAAAGCACTTGTCAGATGATGCAAACATGGCCGTCTAAGAAATAGCATGGTTTGGTAAACTAGACTAAGGAGACCATAAAATAGTGTCAGGGGCCCGATGACTGTTCAAACTCACTACTTGCGGACCATAATCGGGGATTCCAACAATTTTATTTTGGGCATCCTCAGGCCTATCACTGGAAAAAAATTTTTCAAATACAGATGAGTTTCCGATCGCAGTCGGTGGCTGGTGGTCGTGTAATTTGGGGTGTTTGCGTAGGCATGCCAGAGTGGAAGGTGCTCTAGTGATTAGGTTATCCACGCGGGAAGGCTTGGTCACGGGACCCAACCCTGCCAGGTGAGGTGGAGAGGAATTTGTGGAAACGTCTCTAGGCACAGTAATATCGTATCTTGGAGAGGATCCCCACCGTTTTGGATACTTTTTTGGTTATGTGTTGGATATGGGTGCTGAAATTTAGGTTGTTGTCGAAGTATAGACCTAGGAATTTTCCCTCAATACGTCTGGCAATTAGAGTGTTGTAGATGTTAATGTTAAGTTGCACAACACCTGCTCTGCTACCAAACATAATGTAGTAGGTTTTGTCAGTGTTAAGTGTAAATTTATTGGCTGTCGTCCAAGTCAGAATTTTGAGCAGCTCCTCGTTGACAATGGTGTTGAGGGTGGCAAGATTAGGGTGAGAGATGACATAAGTCGTATCATCAGCAAAGAGAATGGGTTTCAGGTGTTGGGATACGTTTGGAAGGCCATTAATGTAAATGAGGAAGAGCAGGGGACCAAGGACATTTCCCTGCGGAACTCCAGTATCAAGTGGCCGTGTTGATGAGGTTGTGTCTTTAATGGTGACATACTGATACCTATTAGTAAGGTAGGATTTGAAATATGCAAGTGCATGGCCTCTTATACCATAATGGTCAAGTTTGTGGAGTAGGATGCCGTGGTCTACTGTGTCAAACACTTTTCTTAGGTCAATAAAAATACCTAGAGGATAGTCCTTATTTTCCAATGCTGTGTAAAGCAGATCTAGCATTTTTACAGTTGCATCATTAGTGCTTTTATTTTTCCTGAATCCAAATTGGCAGGGGTTGAGTATGTTTTGTGCTGTTATAAATGAATATAGTCTCTTGTGCACGAGTTTCTTGAAGATTTTGGATAGCAATGGTAAATTTGATATTGGCCTATAGTTGTTTACATCTGTAGGGTCACCTCCTTTATGTATTGGTGTAACCCTTGCTCTCTTGAGTAGTGTCGGGAAAGTGCTAGTTTCTAGTGACTTGTTGAAAAGTAATGTAATAGCATGCAAAAGGACATGGGCTGCTCGCTTGTACAATAATGGTGGGACTTGAGATGGATTCCCTGAGTTATTTTTAAGTGACTTTATAATCGCGGTGACTAACCCCTCTGGGTTTTCTTCTATTTTCTTCCTAGTTCTTGTTCTTGTTTATTTCTGCTTATCTCCATGGGGGAAGTGGAGCAGACTTCTTCCTCCGTAAGCCATGTTTGTTGCAAGAGACGACTAAAATGCCTGGCTAGTAACCCCTTCTCCTGTATAAATCACTAAATTTAAAAAGACAAGCTATTTTTTTTCTTTTTGGGCCATCCTGCCTCAGTGGGATACAGCTGGTTTGTTGAAAAAAAAAAAAAAAAAAAAAAAAAGGAAAAGAAATTTTTTTTATAAAATTGGGATGTTTGAATGTGCATGGATGTAGTGTAGATGGTAAGAAAGAAATGATTGCTAGCTAGTATCAACTATCTCAAATAATAATACTTTTTGTGATATTAATTGCTCAAACGTTATGCTATAAGGCAAATCCTACTCTCAGGTTAATTTCATATCATAATGACTATCTATCCTATAAAGGTTGTTTACCACTACTTAATTTAGTCCCTTTTTACATTTCTCCTGAAATAATTCTCTATATACCAATACATTGTACTGCCCTTTATTCAGTAATTGCTATACTCTTAGTTTTAATAACAACTAAAGGGCCACTTTCAGGTGTTTAAAAAATTTTCCCGGTAAAGTATTTTTAAAAACAGGTGTTAATGTCCCATGGTTGTTTTATATTTTGATTTTTTTAAAATATGCTTTTTTGGGAAGGGGTTGGATTATTAGGGGAATCAATTAAAATAATTAACATTTAATTTTCCCAATGATACTGTTAGGGGAGTTTCTAAAAATAACAAAGGTTGTTATTGGGAATTTTAAAAGATTTGAAATAAATTAAAAAGATTAAATAGGGTATTCAAATATTTAATAAAAAAAATTATTTGAAAATATTTATATGTTTTAAGATATTTGGGATTAACTTGTGTGC